TCTGAAATTTTAAAACTTTTTTACTTATTTGTTTCAATTTAATCAATAAATATCTATTAAAAAATATTTTCTTCTAAAATCTAGATTGGTGTTCCAAATATAAAGTAATCGCATTCGCAAATATGTTCTACTCAAACCACGTGACTAATTGATTCTGATCTGATTTGAATTCAATCAAACTGTTTTGTATATTTTCATTGAATTATCTCAAAGAAAATTATTACAAAAAACAAAATTAGTGAAAAATGTAAAAAACTAAAAAAGAAACGGAAAAATTATCGGAGATGTCCCCAAATATGTTGTAATTATTTCCATTTCCGGGGGTTTGGGTTAGTGACGGGTGTCCAGGGTGTTAAACTTAAACTAAATTATATATACATTAATATATTTCAATCGGAAGAGGGACAGAAGAAGACAGAGTGTTTTGGGGTCTGAGGTCAGTGGGCAGAGGTCTAGAAGTTGATCGACGTAATATTTGGTTAGTGTTATTAAGCGTTTTATTTACAGACAAGCAAAAGCTTTAAGCATTGCGCTTACCAACAAAAAAAGTACTCAATGAATTGTTACATAGGCAAATTTGCTGCTTTTGCACAATTCCGGTTCTAAGAGGGTCGTGGGGCAGAGGTTTGTTAGAGGGGCAACAATGGCATTACGGCGCCATTTTTGTTAGTTTGTTGTTATTTTTATTATTATTGTTAGTTTGTTTTGTGAAATGGAAATGTATTACAACACGAATTTGGCCACTTCTCCCCAGAGGTCCTTTTCTTACAATTATTTCGAGGATTTCTACAGCACACCTGCCGCCTGGTCATATCGCTTATTGCCCATTCCCAAACATTGTTGTCGATGTTGGTTACGTTGCTTGTTCTGAATGCCTCCAATCTGCAGAGACTGACGTCGCTTCGAACATACTAACAACAACAATTTGTTTTTTGTTTTCATATGGTTATTAATTATTCTAAAGATTAGATTTGCTCTGTGTGCGGTGAAAATTTGTTAATATCATATATTCTTGGTACAAAAATAATGCTCAGTAATATTTCATTGTTGTCTTGTTGATTGGAAAAAGTTAATATATTTGCATTAAAATTAAATATATATATATTTATGATATATGGTAATATTATTATTATATAAATGAATAAAAATGTATTGGTTAGGCATATATAAAACAAATTATTGTTTTGATAACAACTACTGTTTGAACGAAAAAAAAACCAAACATTAACTCAAAGTTAAAAAAATGCAAGAAAGAAAAACAGAATGCAACAAATTAAGAGATATAACCCAATAATTTATTAGTGAAATAACAAACGATTTCAAAATAACGAATTAAAACTAAAATTGGGAATGACAATTCTTCGTTCATCTATACCTTATTCAAATCCTTTGAAAATTTGGCAAAAACTTTTCTTTTTGAAAACCGTTGTAGATAGAATTAATTATACGTTGCCCTTGTTGTTGTTTCATTGTTTGTGAGATTAGAACAATCAGAAAATGTACTTTTTTATTTTGGCTTGTTAAAATAATAATAGAAGTAAACTAAAATGCATTGAAGTCATTGAAACATTTAACATCAAACGTTGAATATAAGCAGTTGGTTTTTCTTTACGAAAAATTATTTTCAAGATCGTTTGTTTGCATTATGAAGAATAGTTGGTAATTTAAGATAACTTTCGAGGTCGGTTTTAATGTTACCCTGCAATGGTTTGAAAAGTAAGGAAGCGACTTGATCGAAACCCGCGTCGCAGTGGCCGAAAAATGGCTCGGGAGCTGAACATATCGCATATTCCATTTGGAAAAATTGAAAAATTAGCTCGGGGTAAAGCCATTGAAATTCAAAAAAGTGCAAGAACTTACACCGAAACAGAGACTCAAAAAGCTATAGAGTTGCTCCGCTTGGCCGAAAGTGGTGAACTGAAAGGAAACATTCGTTGTCGAGCAGTTTGGAAATAAAGAAAATTATCGTGTTTACTTCCGAAAGAGGTCAGCTGAAAATGTGCACCTTGGGTTGGTCACCAGAACCCAAGCCCAGGCCAAGGTGATGGTGTGGGCAGCCATAACAGCCGATGGTCGCTCTCCGCTGCAGGGTGTATTAAAGCCTTGGGCAGGCAAACATTTTGGCCGCAGACCTTGGATATTCCAACAGGACTCAGCAACATTCGGGCAGCTTGTGACGGTTTCATTGGCCGTTTGAAGACCATAATTTGTGCCAATTCGAATAAATCTATACTTATTCAAAAATTTGATGCTATTTCCGACATTTTTTGCTTTCACTCAATAAAATTAAAAAAAATGTAAAAATGATGCCGTTAGATTTGTTGCAGTTTTTTTTTTATCTCACCCTGTATCTATGTAGATCACACATTTAATTACGTCCGATATGTGCATGTGCCTTTCAAAGATGACATGTCTGGTCGACAGGATATTGAATGTAGGAGCATATCTTGAATATTCCCAATGAAGCGATATTATTAGACGGTGCCGTCTGAACTTTTTTTGGGGCTGGTTTTTGTTGTCTGGTACTTAATGATAAAACCTCGTACCAAAAACATATGACAAACCAGTGAACGGTGTAGTATAGTTGGATGGGGCCGACCACATGATACCCTACACAACTACCAATGAACTCAAACTTTCAGCTTATCCATATTCCGAGTCTTGGTAATATTTCGCGATTTTGAACACTCTTGACCGACATAACTTATTCGATCTATATCCTTCTGGGGTAAATTTACACGCCATAGAATGGAAACTATCACACTTTTCACACAAATTACCAATCTTGATCAAAATATGCACTCTTAGTATTTGGCCTGATCTCCAAGCATGTGTGTCTTCGTGATGTTCGAATCATAATTGTGGCCTCTAGAGCGACCAGAAAAAAAAAACAGACAATAATAATGTTTTAGTTCATTTCATCTCCTAAATATTAACGGATCATTAACAAAAACAATAGAGGTCTTCTTTGGCCAGAACCCATCCTACATGCAACAGTTCGAGACGATTGGTCCATAACTGTCGCCTGTACCGTGTTTACAAATTGTAATCAACAGACGGATGTCTAGATCGACTCAGCTTGTCGAGATATGACGATCGGTATACTAAAGTGTGGGACTAGGACCAATATTTCGCGGCGTTATAAACTCTTGGGGTTGCACCAAGCTGTGTAAGGATAATTAGTATTTGTTTTAAACATGTTAGATTCGTCGATGGAGCAGCCGAAGATTAGATGCGGTAGTTGATGGGGCACATTCGTCACCCAAAAGAATAGCCTAACAATTATCATTGCTATTAGTTTGGTTAGAATTAAGATTCTCTAAAGGTTCTATCTTATTTTAATACGCGACTCAATAATGGACGTTTAATACTATATATCTCAGGCCACATACAGCATCATAAATCGCGTTTGGGTAATACATGTCCTTGCAGAGAACTATCAATATATGCCAATGTTCTCGAATACCCTACATAAATGGGTACCGTCCCATCTTCGATTCTTGAAGTACATAGGCAAAACATTAGTATCTGTAAAACCTCATAACAGACAATATACATTGTAGGACCATACTTATAAACGCCCCAACAAATTTTAGATGTTTTAAATGCCCATGTACATAAAAAACAATAGTTATATAGTTATATTAAATACAACAATATTTCGATATGTGTAAAACTCGAATGAAGAAATTTAGCTTGAAGCAGGGGTTCATAGGCAAATCCCTGCCTTTTTATTTGGTTCCGTCGGACTATAATCCATACTGGTTGTAATAAGTTCATGCGACGGACTAGCCATATAATCTTGATAAGTTTAAAATGTGGAATTTTCTTAGGATTATCTTATTTACCATCATTTACCAACTAGTCTTATACACAACAAACACACACATAATCTTGAAAACAAATATGACTGCATATTGAAAATTTATTAAAAACTTTTAAACAACCGATTATATACTTATTATGAAAGAACACAACAACATATAAGATATAAACTTTATTATAATAATGCTATTTACAGCAGCATTTGATAGCGAACATATTGAGAATTATGAAAATATCGCTTGTAAGCTGTGTTGGCGATTTCATTTCTCGATACAATTGTCCTGTAGTTGGCTATTTTGCGCATTAATGATTTCGAGGAATTTACAATTATGAATATCGAAAAATAGCGGATAGAGATTGTTTTGTTTAGTAAATAGGCTTATATTAGAAACATTTTAGTTATATGTGACAGTTAATCTGGTTCGCACAACAAACGACAAAGCATGACATCAACGCAAAAACAACGCATTTCACGTCGATAAATTGAAAAATGAAAACGGAAATGAAAATACAAAAAGAATATCCAAGTAATTGATTGGTTACTTTTTTATTGATTTTAGTTTGGTGGTAGTGGTGGTCAGTGAAAAGTTAGGCAATTTTATACAGCGTTTTTGTTTTTTGTTTTTTCTTTTTGTTATTATTGAAACTTCTCACTCGTGAGAAGGGGGGAATAGGGAAAGACGAAGAAGAATGGGATATGTGATATTTCGTAAAATAAAGTAAAGGATGTGGGGAAGAGGGGGAATTGAATTAGATGTTCTGTAATTTTTACACTATGCCAGTGAGCAAATCAAATATTTCTCAAGGTGTATTTTTAAATCGTAATGAGTAACATATTCGTCAGCATAAAATTGTATGACACATCGCAATTAATTTGAATTTGCCTCTACTTCTATAGTGTAAAAACCTAAGACTTTCGTTGGAAACAATTGATGTGAAGAAGAGATATTCAATGAACAGAGGAGTGGCATGAAGATATAGAAAACGAATAAAATTCTCTAAATGAAATCAAATAAATATAAACTAACTTAAAAAAATAACTTAAATTGGAAAGAAAATTCAATATCGAAATAAATAAAGAGAATACTATAGAAATGTAATTGTAGAAGATAATTAGGTTAACATATATTTTCCAAATAAACGTTAATAAAACAGTGAGCATTAAACGAACTTACCCTCGCTGCCAGACTAGTGTTCGGCTTTTCGAGCAATTCCCACAAGTATTTTTGGTATTCGGCACATTTACCTTCGCCGAATTCTTCTTCATCACGCTGGCGCAACGATTCGGCTTCTTTGCGCATTTCTTCGTGAACGTTCTCCTTGCGCTGATGGTATTTGTGCTGACAACACGACTCCAAATAGAGTTCGTCGACGCCCCAATATTCGAGGTCATCGCTGAAGGCCAGCACACACATCTCGTCGACAATGTGCAGTTTACCGGTGCGATAGAAATTTAGAATGGAACTGAAGCTTTTCGGGTGACGATCAAAGAAATACTCGTTGTCGACCAGCGAATAATCGTCGCAGAGCTCAATGATGGCCTCGTGCGTGGTGCATTCACGCAGTCGGCCGAGGCGCGTGTGAGGAAGTCGTTCGAGTGTGCGCCACAGAACTTCGTGTTTGACGCCGCCAACGTTAATCGACACTCGACTGTTCATTTGCTTCGACTGTGCTATCATAAAAGGTTCCGGGGGCGGGATGGAGGACATTGATCTGGAATGTGTCCGCTGGAGGGCGCCGGCATTGATTTGGCCCTGCTGCAACTGGGAAGTCGTGGGATTCGAGTGCGTCGGCGACGTGATGGGGAATGGAGCGTAGCGCACCTCTTTGCCAGTGCCCGTAGCAGATGTTGCAGTTGTGACGGCCGTGGTACTAGGCGGTGGAGCGTTTGTAGCGTCCGATGTCCAACCAACCGAAGCGACTGAAGTTCCGCCCTGCATACCGCCAGCAGTGTGTGTAGTTGCGGCGGATGCGCCAGCAATGCTGCTACCGTCAATATAATCCAGGTTGCCAGTAAGAGGGGCGCCGGTATTGTGGTGGGGCCCTCGGCCGTTTGCAGGACTTTGGCCAACGTTATAAACAACACTGCCAGCTGTTGGGAGAGATCCATCGCCGCCAATGTATGCACCAGTTCCACCGGTTCCCATCGCCCGGCTCCAATCGACATTACCGCTGGTGTCGTAGTAGGGCTGATTATCACACCCCTCTCCGATGTTCGCCGTTGTTGTTGTTGATGTTGCACTGTTGCGTCCAAGTGTTTCGTTTTCGATCCAATTGTTGGACTGCTGCTGTTGTTGTTGTTGCTGCTGCTGATAATTGTAGTCCTGTTGCAGTTGTTTGTGTTTTTGCAAAATTTGCTGTGGCGGCTGTTGTTGATCACGTTGTATTGGTTGTTGCTGTTGCTGCTGCAAATGTTGTTGGCTTGTAGCCTGTCCACCATGCAATTGTCCCACCATTTGTAATACTCCATTATTGTATTGGGTCGGTGGTGTTGATGCACCCGTTTCCCAGCGTACCGTTTCACGGTCTCTATCACGTTCGCCGACCATAGATCCGCTAAATAATATGAGAAGAATTGTTTTCTTAGTATAACTAATGTAGAATAGAATATAGATAAAAAAGCATACATTTTAAGGGTTCGCATAATGTGTGAAGTTTTTTAAAAATAGTTTTTAAGAATCCAAATAAATTTATAGATCCACACAAAGCGTGGCCTTTTTTAAAAATATTTTTAGGGTTCATAACCACGCGTAAACTTTTTAAAAAACCAGGCGTGGACTTTTTATTAAAAATATTTTTTAGGGGTCATAACAAGGTGTGGACTTTCTAAATATACTTTTTAAGAATCCAGACAAGGCGCTGTTTTTTTTAAAGAATAGGCGTGGATTTTTTTTTAAAGAATAATGTTTTATGGAACCAAAAAAGGCCTGGTTTTTTAGGAATAATGTTTTATGGAACCTAACAAGGCGTGGATTGTTTTAAGGAATACAGTTAAATATTTTTTAAAAAATGCACACAGGCTGTGGATTTTTATAAAAATTCTGTTTAAAGAATACTGTTAAATATTTTTTACAAAATGCACACAGGCCGTAGATTTTTTTTAAATTCTGTTCAATGGATCCACACAAGGCGTGAGTTTTTAAAAGAATAATTTTTAAGAATCCACACAAGTATTGAATTTTTAAAAGAATATGTTTGTAGCAATTAACGAAATTGTAATTGCTACAAAAAATTAAGTTTTAGGAAGCGTTCACACATTACCTAGAATTTTGGTGCTTATTTGTAACTTAAAATCATAAAAATTATCATATTATGGTTTTATACTAATAGGAAGTTATTTGGGTCATTAAAAAAAGTATTCTTTAAAAACTCCACGCCTTGTATGGATCCTTAAAAAACCCTTCTTGTTTGGATCTCCATAAAGTATTTGTTAACAAATCCATTTCAGTCACCCGGTCGCTTTAATTGGTGCAAACAATTTTTAAAAGTTCCCAACACGTAAGTCATATTATGGAAAATCGCCGCATCGGCGAATTTTGAACATGATATGTCAAAATTGTTGTATTCTTCCAACCAATCCGAACAAAGGATCGTTGAAGTGTTAAAAAATTGTTTACATTTTTTAAATTGTTAAATTTTGTTGTAATTCTATAGTTATGAATTAAAAACTTAATTAAGGATACAAAAACGACAGAAATGCTATTAAAGATATCGGACGAAAAATATATTTGGCGAAACCAAGAGATGGATCAATGTTAAACATTTTTCTCGAGCGTTTTTATTTAGCTTCGATGAACTAACTAACTATGTAAATGATACAAATGATTAATGTCCAAATGGTTTCAGAATGGTTTCGCTATAAAATTGAGGTATGCAGAACACGAAATCTTCATCTAAGAACTCGTAAAGCATGTTGAAATAACTTCGCAGCAGTCGGAGCCTTAAACCAGTAGAATGGAACAAATGTAGACCGATAAATGTTGGAAAAGATCCTGCGTGCCCATTTAACCGCTCTTTCAATGCAGATGTGTTACCTATATTCTACTAAATCAAGAACAACAGTCTCATTTTTTACCTATAGCTAATAATGTATTAATTTGTTGGGATTCAGTTAAATGACACAAATCATTCTTCACTCCCATATTTTCATCTCTAGGTACACTTATAAAAAGTTGCATTGCCGTAACATCTTTCCTTTTACAACAGATGCATACTCTCATTTTAGTACCGTACATAACTTTGTTCTGAGGGTATATACGTAATTTGTGGGGTCCTAAGATTTTGTAGCAGCACTTAACCCAACTCTTAGTGATATCTAGACTAGTTGAATAAATATATTTATATGTGTTCGTCTGCCCGACCATTATACAAGGTACAGGCCGCTGTTATCAATCAATTGTCACAATATTTTGTATGTAGGTTTGGTTCTGATCAAAGACACCGCCTATAGTTTTGTTCATAACAGGTTAATACATGGGGATGAAATTGACTAAAAATGTTACTCCACAAAATATTACATTTGGAATGACCAAACTTTATTTGATGCACAAATATGAGGCAATTGTAGCGGGATTCTGAACAGGATCGGGATCCATTAGTCAATATCATATGGTCGGACCGTCAGACTATACTGCTTTGCTCACTGATTTTAACTATTATATTCAATTAATTTCGACATTTTTTCACGTAATACCTTTCTCTTTGAAATTATATTTATTCATCTACCTACGACGAATTCAAAAAACAAAATTGTATTTGACGTATAATGTTACCATCAGCTGCGTTGATAATAACAATATACACATATGTTTAGTTTCAGGGACGTGGTTAAAACCAAACATATCTATCAGCCATCCAAATTATATTATTTATAGAAAGGACAGACAAGGTAATAGGGGTGGTGGTGTTGCCATAATAATCAAAAATAATATTTCTCACTTGCCAACTCCCATTGTTAATACATCATGTATTGAAAATATTGGAGTTAAAGTTTTCACAAATCTTGGATGTGTTACCATATATTCATGCTATTTTCCTGGAGGTAGGGTTGGTACTGATCAAATTCGAAAAAGGAATTTTACATCAGATTTGCACAGGCTTACTAGATGTGAAAAATATATATTAGGAGGTGATTTTAACAGCCGTCATCAATCTTGGGGTTGTACAAGGGCTAATTGCTGGGGTAATATATTATATGGAAAACAAATCTCTTACAATTTTGATATGGTGTTTCCTCCACAAAATACATACATACCTTCACAGCATAACCGCCAAAGCTCAACTTTAGATTTTTTCATTACAAATATCACAGAGTCACTATCTCCGGCCAATGTTTTAAATGATTTAAGTTCAGATCATCTACCTGTTCTTCTAAAACTCACGGAATGTTATAATGCCACTGAACGCAGATTTCTAAACTTCAAAAAAGCTAATTGGCGAAGGTTTTCACGTTTTATAAATCAAAACATCTCAATTCCTAATGAAAATAATATATCATCATCAGATTCAATAGACAGTCATTTAAAAGAGTTCATCGAAATCATAAATAATAGCATTGCACATAGTGTACCTTACAAAAATATTAGTAGATCCAATAAACAATTACCATACAATATTAAATCTTTGATAAGGACCAGAAACCACTTTCGTAGATTATGGCTACGTTACAGGAACTATACAGATTACAGAGAATTTAATATTTTAAATACGATCATAAAATCCGAAATACAAGTTTTTAAAAATGAATCATGGTCTCGGCTCCTTTCTACATTAGACAAAGGATCCCAACCGTTCTGGAACTTAACAAAAATACTTCGGAAAAAATCTAAAAACATTCCCTTACTAAGAAATGACAATATATATTATTTCACTCCTTCTGAAAAATGTGAAGCGCTTGGAAAGTCGTTTAGCGATAACCATTCATTTTCTGCAAATCTAGGGGATTCTTCCACAAAAAATATAGTAAATGAAACCATCCGTGATTTTAATATTGCTTCAAACTCAGAGGATTTTGTTGCAATTAGTTATAGCGACATACATAACATTATCAAAAGGTTAAAGCCAAAAAAAGCTCCTGGGATAGACGGCATTAATAATCAGTGCCTCAAAGCTCTACCTAAAAAAGGTTTAACATTTTTAACCCTTTTAACAAATAGCTGTCTAAAACTTGGCCATTTCCCAAAATTATTCAAAGAGGCAAAAGTCATAGGTATAAAAAAACCTAATAAACCACCTGATTCTCCTCAATCCTATCGCCCAATTAGCCTTTTACCATCTATCAGTAAAGTTCTAGAAAAGGTAATCAAAAATATATTAATTCAATTTACTGAAATCAATAAAATACTTCCACCTCTCCAGTTTGGTTTCCGTAGAGAACACAATACAGTACACCCTTTAGTTCGAATCCGAAATATTGTTAAACATAATTTTACTTGCCAAAAATCTACTGGAATGATTCTCCTAGACATAAAAGCCGCATTCGACTCTGTTTGGCATGATGGTTTAGTCTATAAACTAATTAAACTAAACTTTCCTAATTATATCATCAAAGTAATTCAAAGTTATTTAAAATTCAGATCTTTTAGAGTTCATATAGGGACAAACTTTTCTAACGTATTTAACATCTCAGCAGGGTGTCCTCAAGGATCTTGCTTGTCACCAATTCTGTACAATATATACACGTCTGATATACCAGTTATTCCTAACTGCACAATGTCAATTTTTGCTGATGATACAGTGATATTATGTTCAGATGTGCATGCTAATGTGATCCTACATAATATGCACGTAGCTTTGGAAACGTTATATAAATATTTTTGTAAATGGAAGATAGCATTGAATTGTAGTAAAAGTCAAGCGATTTTCTTCACAAGGAAACGTAAAGAATGTTTTATCCCTCAAAGCAACATAATTATTAACAATGCCGAAATCAAGTGGGAAAAAGGTGTCAAATATTTGGGAGTAGTTCTAGATTCTAAACTAAGTTTTAATAATCATATTTCATATGTAGTAAACAAGTCCAATATACTGATTAAAACTTTATATCCCTTTATAAACAGAAATTCGTCTCTAAGTATCGAGAACAAAATGTTAATATTTAAGGTAATATTTCAGGCAGTATTTTTCTATGCTGCACCGGTCTGGTCTAAAAGTGCCAACTGTCATATAAAAAAACTTCAAGTTGTTCAAAATAAAGTACTTAAGCTAATTCATAATTTACCTAAATATTACTCTACTAATATACTGCATAGGTTGGCAAACGTTGAACATGTAGCAAACAGAATTGAGAAATTAACTCAACGATTCGATTTAAAATGTTCATTTTCAGAATACGATCATATTGTGAATCTTGGATCACAATAACTTTTTATTTAGTTGTAAGTAGTTATAAGTTTTATTAAAATATTAAAAAATAAAATTCAAATAGGTTTTTGCTAAATTTTTGCCTCCAATTTTCTAAATATCATATTTTGTACCATATATAATATCAATAGTTATGTTTAATATTTAAGTTGAAAAAGGACTGGATCCTTAAACTCTTTACATTTAGTAGATTATATATAAATAAGGAATTGTATATATCATGAATATAAATAAAAATGAATGAAAGCTGCGTTGATACTGTTATCGTATTAATATACCTTGTGGAAAATATAGAAAAATGTGTTTGACAATTTGATTGTCACATACACCTTAACAAAAACCAACTTCAACAATAATAATCGAATATAAAAAGAATATATTGTAATCGATTTATGCTATGTTTAGACCATCTCGGTTATTGTGAACGGCTTAAAAACAAAGATATTTTATAATACATCATATTTCTCTATAAAAAACTGGTTATAGACATATCAGTTTAACATTTTCAAGTTATTTAGTAGACAATTTTGAGTCGTCACGATTTTAAAATGCATACATACATTCAACCTTGGGATGTGTATATGATTGGGATTGATTTGACATCGACCTTCATGACTTATATGGCCATATGGAATTTAAGTCAGGCCCCGCGTAGAATTTTAAATTTTTTTTTACGGGACATACCTGGGACATATATCAATTATGAGATTAGATATCTTATATCACTTCAACTTTCGTATCTATCAGTAAGAAATATAGGTTACCCAGTTTTTGACGACCCAAATATGTAATAGCGCGTTGTAACTAGTCACAACATGTAAAAAAATTATATACACATCATCAATTGGTTATACAAAAATCTACTTAAGAAAATTATATATCGCATATATTCTAGAAGGAGTTACTTTACTTGAAAGGAAGAACAGAAAAGTCTATGAAATCACAAAAATTAGAAATATATATCAATTACGACATCATCCAATTATCTGATCTGTAAGAAAGAAATGTACGATACCCAATTCCCATGATTGTGTTTCCTGTTTCTCCCTCTATTTACTTACACCCCATTCTAGTCCCTGCGTTGTGGCAATAAATCAAAAAATGTAGTTTTTTGTTTGTTTTGTATACTTACCGCTACATTTCATCTATTGTTTCTTCTTTTCGTAACACCAACCAAGTCAATAATTTATGAATATCTCAAGATGTAGACACGATATTATTTTGGTTATGGTTGGTATCTGATGCAGTCTCTCCTAACTATAAATTGTTTGAGGTTGGCATTGACGGACGTTTGAAGTGTGACTGTGTCTTTTATTTTGAAGTTATTCTTTGTTGTTTCAGTTTTTTTCTTTTGTTTAGCTTAAATCACAGATGTATTTCACATAAATCAACGAATACCCTATGACAGTAATACTTGTCGTACTGGAACTGTTCTTCTCCGATGCAATGCATTCACTAACTGATGAAATGTCGAGCAACGACAGATTGAGTCCTTTGTCCAAATGGAAATGATGAAATTGGTCTGTAAAACAAATAGAAAAGATAACAAAAATGAAATATGACTTAGCACTTGGTGTTTATAGAGCTTATTTAGATGTGAGTTTATTGTCAGTTTTTTATCGGCGTATGCAAATAAAAATGAACTTTTTTATTATTTATGAGAGTTGTTGTCGGACAGACAGACAGACAGGCAGATGTTTATGCTGACGATATTTGTTGGGGCGATAGCTGGTGGCAAATAGTTTTCGATAACCGTTTAATCTGTCTGCAAACTAAATATTTATTATGTTGAGTTCAATAGAATGTGGGGTGGTATATTTTTACATAATTTATTGGCCTTTAATCCGCCTACGGCTACAACAAGACACGTCATGTGTGTAAATATTATCTGCAACAATGAAAAAAAAAAATAAATAAAACAAAATTGATTGTGGCCACAAATATCAACCCTGGCCACAGCCCCCAAATTGCTTTCAGGTGATTGCGTTTATTTGGTTTGCATCATTTTACGGTCGACGTTTTTTTTCTCGTTGGTGGTAATATGTACACAGTGTTCTCTGTGTCCTTTTAACGCATACATGCATACATTTATATACATATATAAGTTGATGCAACCAAACCATATGTAGGTGAAGTTTAAAATGTTGAAACTAATTGGCTGACCTGATTTTACACATAACCCAGTTTTTTAGGCCAAGGTAACTAAAGAGGATTGAACATTTTCAATACCAGTTCTCCGAAATACCAATATACAGCAAAAACAATTATGTACGTTTTTGAAGAGTCTGGCAAATATTATGCACACCATCAAGAACACATAAGTCGCTATGATTTCTTTTTCGAATTATGTTAAGAATAAATAAATAAAAAATCATTTACAAATCGATAACTCATAATTGGTCTGTTTCGGTATAACAAGAATCTATTACGATAATAAATCGTGAAATGTAGTAGGTTCTTGCCGTATGGGAACTGACCAAATATAAAAATTGAAAGTTAATATTTCTTTCGCGAACTATACACCTTTACTAAGTTCAATTTATCACATGTCGCAGCCTTAACATCATGTAAAGGCTCTAAGTCCACTTTTCATTTTTAAGATTTCGAACACAATTCTCAGCCGAATTGATAGAAATTTGGTATTTAGGTACTTATGGAATAGCACACCTTCCATTAAAAAATTATGAATATTGGTCAACTTTTTAGGATGATTACGATGAACGTATTTTTTACCCCGAGTCGATATATGAAAATTCCCGGGCAAAGATCAACCAAAGCCGTAGAGCTTTTTTCGAACGGAGTATCTAATTTGAACCAAACATTGCATAATCTAATATTTAAATCAAGCCTGTATAATGTTCGATGATCGGGCTTATCGGTCCACTCCTTCCGGTACCTCACCATAAGGGTTCAACATTTTGAGAATTTCTTGTCCAATATCAAACGAATTAATCCATGGTGACCAGCATGGGCATCGTACCAAACACAGATCAAGACCGAGAATGGTACCCTTCTGGTAACACCGCCATGAGTTACCCTATATAAAGATAATTCCCGTTTTTCACGACATTTACAAAGGCACGATAACTCTCGAAGGGTGAAGGCGATTTTATTCAAACTTTGCACAGCACAATATTTCTTCCAAACGTAGTTCAAGTTCGAAATGGAAGATGTGGAATATCGTTCCACTCCTTCTGTTACCTACCACACAAAAGGGTTAAAATTGTGATAAAAATTAATTTTATAATATTAGGTTGGAGAAAAAGAAATCCATTATTTTATATAAATTATAGGAATTTATTTAACAAGCTGCGGAATTACCGATTTGGGCTAAATATGCACTGTTTTGTTGTATGATATGTTGTCATTTTAAAGGTAACTTCATAATGCCACTTTCATAGAAGCCCTACTTTCTATTTGCAAAAAAAATCTAGTACTCGAAATTTTGCAATGCAAGAAAAATATGATAATCGCTTGGTGCCAAGTCCGGACTGTATGGCGGATGTTCCCAACCACGTTGCCGAAGTTTCTGGCGAGTCACTGTAGATGTGTGTGGCCTAGCGTTGTCCTGGTGGAACACGACACCTCTCCTGTTGGCTTATGGTCATCCAGTTGTTGACAGTAGAGATCAGAACTTAGCGTTGGGCTATATGGAAGCAACTCATAATAAATATTCCCCTTCCAGTCCCACCAAATGCATAGCAGAACCTTCATGGCTGTTAGTTCTGGTTTGGTCGCCGTTTGGCCAAGGCTTCGCGGATGAAAATTCGATCCATTCTATTTTTTCCGTTAATTGGTGAGGCACCCAAGCATCGAGCTTCTTTTTGAATCCAGCTTTGTTTAAAAGTTTAAAACTGTTTTATGGTCCATTTGTAGCTCCTAACATGGCGGTCTACTTCGATCATTTCTCCGATTTTATCGACATTTTCGACGACCGGTCTGAATTTCTTTTTCCCCAAACTAATATCATGTGAACGAATCATCCGATTTAAACCAAACTTAATATAACCTATTATACAAGCTTTCTGGTACTTGCACCACAAATGATCCAAATTTTCAATATTTATAAATTCAATATATCAGGTCAAAATATGGGGCTTATTGGTCCACTCCTTCTGTTACCTCCCCCTAAGGAGAACATTTTTTTAATGGATATAAATCCAATATTAGGCGAAGAGAATGTTGAGCCAAACTTTGCACAACCTATATTTACCAAGCCTAGGTTCAGGGATGGTCCGTGTGACGAATTTTAAGGTTTTTGATTTTCAAAAAGGTGTAAACGTCGAAAACGTCATATACCTGTATAAAATGTAATAAATGTAGTAAACGAATTAACGTCATATACCTAAAATATATATTATTTTTACATTTATCTAACTATTCCTTACTAGTATAAAATATAATAAATGTAGTAAACGTCATTTATTTCAATATTATCAGCATATACAGTTATTTTCAAGAATATATATTATTTTTACATTTATCTAACTATTCCTTACTAGAACTGATAAAAATTTCTAAATTTTTTTGAGAAGACAATTTTGAAATTTTTTTATTAATTTGAGTAAAGCATGCGTAATTTCCAAATTGATTAATGTAAATAGCTATTTTGTCAAAAACCCAATGGATTTGGGTAGGTTTCTGACGTAAGTATTATAAATCGGAAATGTATGTCATTTACGTCACTGCTTCTGACAGGCCACCTCTGCCTAGGTTAAATTCGAAAATGAGACCCGTCCGCTTTCTCTTACTAGTATCTCTGGCACAATGGAACAATATTTTATAAACTTGTAAATTTAATTTGAAGCGAACTTAATAACCGATTTGAACCAAATTAAATCCAAAACCTCTTTGATAAAGAACATATACATTATAAAAAGCCAATATCAAAAAAGGTGTGTAATTGTTTTTACGATTTTTCCACTTTAACAACATAATATATGTAGAACAATTTTTTCCGGACTTTGCATTAAGCATTTAGACTATGATACACTATTTGGATCTTTTTTGTCATAAGATCAGCTCTTGAATGTTGTAATAACACAAAATATACAATTTTCACTTAAAACTTTAAAATCAACAATAATTCAATTTTAACTTGAACGTATGAAATCCAAAATCAAACTAAATTCTCAAAAGGGTTATAGAAATACCATCCTATGGCTTCATACGGCCATTGTAGAATTAAGAACAATAGAATGTTTACTTTGGCGATGGCTAATTGCAATCTAAAAATTATGACCATCATAAAAATGTTCACTGTCACTGCGGTAAACTGAGCTAAAGTTATGAGACCACTTAGTTGTTTCTGTTAACTTTGTATATTTCTTCTTAGCGAATGGCAATACGAGTAATATCGTATGTATGCAGTATGCAAGTTGTTTGGCTTAATGTGAGTACTATGACAAACAGTTAGACATAGTTTAAATAAATATTTCGCTAATATACTTTCTTAGACGATTTATATGAATATTTAATGGGACATAAGTAATAAAATGCCGGTTGATTGGGACCAGTTAAAAGTTATTGTTATTAGTTCTATTATTTGTCATACTTCAGTGCAATTTGCCTTAAATGTTGGCAATCGAAATTTGTGTGACATTTCAGTGTCACATTTCAGTGCACTCTTGTTATCAGAAAGAAAGAAACATTTGACGTGATCATACAAACAACAATTCTATTCTCATTGCCCATATTTGGAATTATCGACGATCAAAACTTTCTTGTTTTAAATCTAAATGATTTATAGAATCTATACATTAATAACCTTCTAAAGGTATTTGTGCCTCTATTCTTATAAATCATGAAAATTTTCCAGATTATTTTTCAATTCCCAAAAGTGTCCTTAGCAATAAGGATGAAATCATAACAAAGTGACCGACTAAATGCAAAAAGGTTAAAAAGGTTTAGTATTAAAACTACAACCTCTTAAAAATTGTTCTCAAAGTGTCATTTCCTTTGAAATACTACTAGCAATATAATTTTATTTTCTAAAGGACACTTCTCAATTCTTTTTCACTTCTCAGAAAGGAATATCCATAGTACATACTTGGAAAATTTATTGTTTTATTCTGTAAAAGTTGTTGAAAATTTAAAGGTCACTTTTGAGTGACCATAGCCCTGTATGTGTCAGAATAAGTACCCTTTAAATGCAAAACGTGTAGCTTTTGACATACAAATGCGTATTCGTTT